AACCGAAATCAGTTGCCATTGAAATACAGACAATAAAACTGAGACTTGAAATACATTTGCAAACATTTTTGTGTAATTCATTGAAAGTCGAGAATATGCCGGGAATTCAGTTGAAAATCTCAAAAGAAATGGAAAAGACTAAATCCGAGGCCTCCCAGGCCTGCGGCAAATGCAGACATATAGTTGTCAAACACGGGCTGACATTCCTGGTGGGGGTGACCGTCGGCGCCGCCGTTGTCTACAGTTATATCAAATACGGGCAGAAATAGGCGTCCAATGAATACAAAGAATCCGTATTTCATCGCAAAATTATTGCTCAAAATATCATTTAAATTGTAGTTTTATTATAAGAAATGTTTTCTCAAAATTAGTAATAGATGAAAAATAAAACATGAATTCCTTATAAAACAAAATTATGACTTCCTTTAATTTAATTCAATTTTTTAATTAAGATTTTATGATCAAAACTACTGTTAAATAATTGAAAAGTTTGGTGAATGACTGCAATATACTTTATCCCATTGAAAGTCCATATCTATTTGTTTAGTGAATAGCACGGGTAGTTTGACCTCAACTTTAAGACCTAGTTTATCGGCAATGCTCATGGCACTGGTATTATTAGCTAACGGCTCATATATCAGTCCTTTTACCACCATTTCCGGAAAGTTATCAATAAGTTTACGCAACAGTAGTTCGGCCACAGAATCGCTGTCGGCATACAGTGGACCGACCCTACCGTTCTCATCGCTACACATGTGTATCACACCATAACCTGCCACCTGATCACCGCTCTCATCAATGGCTACCAGTGCTCTACACTCCGGGTCACTAAACATACGGTTGAGTACCTGAGCGCGAGACTGTCGGTGCACTTTGCGGTCGTATTCAACGACTGAATCCACTAAAGAATCGCCGATTCTTTCGATACGGATTCCGGCGATACTGTCGACCAGATTCTGTAGATTCCGGGTCCGCACGGGTCGGCACTCGTAGGCAATCAGTTGGATACCGGAGTCGTGCGAAAAGCCCAGCCTTTCCCTATACATGCCCTGCAAGTGGTGCTCAGAAAATAGGACTGCACTGTCATTCGGGCCAATATGGGTCATGATTGTGCTAAATAGACGGCTACCGATGCCCAGACCTTGATGACGCCTGTCCACACCGTATAGACCGATGATGTATGTGTTTTCCATAAATTTAGTAAGCGCACACACGCCCAGTACTTGATCTAGATCATTTGTTTAAGTAAAAACAGTGGTTATAGTTAGCAAGGTAGTAGATTATTGAACATTAGTAGAGTAGTATGTTTTTAATTAATGTTTGTTTATATAAGATTTTTAAATAGTTACTGTAAATTATAACACCTTGATAATATTGATTACTACAAATATGTGAGCACAACATACCTGTCCGGTTGTCGACAGCCACCACATAATGCCCGGCCTTTGCACTGAGAAACGACTTGACAGACAGTGAGCCCTCCTGTAGCTCAAGTTCGGCCCATATCTGGAGTACTCGGGGTATGTCATCGACGGTCATATCCCGCATGCGATAAGCTAACTGTCCATTTGAAGCCTCAATTACATTGTTTGTTGACATTATTTTATAAATAAATATAATTTACTTATTACTAAACCGAAAATAATTTAATAGATTATTTATTTATTAGTAATAATTAGTAGGTATACTCAGAATGAAAATAAATGTAATATTAAATAATTGTTTTAATAAAAAATAATTTTATACTTTTCTAGTAGAAACATATCGTGTAAACATATATCGATAAACATGTTTGCCATACATTTTCTGTCAGACATTAATGAACCGACCTTGGTATTTATTAATAGATTAGACAAGTTATGTAACATAACGTTTTCAAGCCGTTTTATACAGGTGAATTGTATTGCTAAATAAGTAACTGTCTAAGGTTGATACTGAGAATTATTATTTCTAAGAGTGAACTTGATAAAATTCTGAAATCTGGAGTTAGTTGTCGTACCTTATAGAAAATACCTTAGCTTAGGTATAGTAGAAACGGATAGGTAGTACCTATTAGTACATGGTACATATAATAGTGTAAGTACATAGAGTAAGGTACGTACACAGCACGTAAGGTATAGTACCCAGTGCATATTAATATACAGTATTATTATTAACTCAGTATAGTGTCCAAAATGGACAGTCCAGTTTTAATGCACTGAGTCCATTGTGGTCAATCAACATTTTAATTATCAGTGTGTATACCTTAGCTTTGTAATAGAAACGCAATTCATACACAAATGTACTAGGTATTTTAAACATTGTACGCCTATTAGAATTAGAGTTAATTTAAAATAATAATTTTTTTTGTTTGTATTTATTTAACAAGAATTTTATTTTTATTAATAGACAAGTAAATACAATGAGCAAAAATCCACAAATATAGCCTACATATTATTATTAATAAAATAAAATCTAATTTACTTGTATTATCTATTAATAGATAGTAGTGAAAATATAAAATCTTCGGGGTAAAAATAAATTGAATCTCTAAATAAAATCGTATTGACAATAAGTTATTGCAATAATACATTTATGAATAAGTTATTATTTGTATATATTAATGTTATTAAGTTATTTAATTATTTATTTACTTTACAGTAGGGTATGAATGCATATTACTGTCTGTGATGTATATTTACTGAACATTTTATCATACTTATTTATTTAATTACTAACTAATATATCCAAGCTAATTTACTCATCAAACTACACTAATAAATGGGAGTATAATTTTAAAATTATACATGAATACACTGCCATGTAATTACTTTTTATAACTTTCTATTCACAAAATCAAATAATTAATTGACTGGACAATAAATACCAAGCTGGGACTAAAATATGGCAAAATTAGGGGAATGTATGCAATAAACCCGTGACCAGAGGGCCTCAGTATAGACAAACTTATTGAAGAACCTTGGTAACTCCTCGTGCTTATGTAGGCCCAACTTCTCGGCAATCCTAATGCCACCAGGATTTGAATCCAGGGTCATATACAACAGGCCATTGGTCTCGATAAT